CCCAATCCTCCAGCCTCTCCTCTCGTTGCCTCAGGCAGCAGCTCCAGCAGCCAGCACTCAAGTGTGCTCGTCACACACTAGCAGCATGAGTGCAATTGTGTGGCAGCTCGGAGGCAGCTGCCTTTTTTATATTGGTTGAGGAGGGTTGGACGTCACTCCAGCCCCCAGGCAAAATCGCGGGCTCACTATGAGCCCTTGATCTGCCAAGATCCAGGGCTGACTGTGGCCGCACCACAGCCACAGCTTTAGTGTGAGGCAGTTTCTTTAACTGCCCTATTTTATTTTTATTTTTATTTTTCCCAGCTATCTCGGAATCTGGCGAGATAGCTGGGCTCCTGCCATTTCCAAATCTGTTTTTCTTTTCTTTTTCTGATAAAGGGTTGAAAAGATACAACCCTTTTCAGTTTGATGTGTCTAGACCCTTTTTCAAGGGCAGATACATCGAGGAAAAGGTTGTATCTAGCCTTTTCCTTAGTGACCTTTAAATTTCCAAACTCCCTGCAAAAACGGGAGCATGACAGTTACCACTGGCAGCTTCTGCCAGAGGTAGCACCACGTGAGGACAAGTGTCCTCACTCAAAATAGAGAAAGGAAAAGAAAAAAAAACTAACTTTCTAATTTTTGTTGCACCTGGTTTCTTCCTTGGCCAGGTGCATGTTGTTGCATGCAACAACCTTCCTCTTTTTGCTCTGGCGTCCCCTAAGAACGAGGAGGGCAGTTGGCAGTTTGGGAGGAGTAGGACCTCCTCCTCCCAAATCTCACGTTCCTCTCTCTCTCTTTCCTCCAACCAACTTTCACAACCATATTTCCTCGCGAGCATCGTGAGCCGCGAGATCCGAAATCTCGCGGCCTCAAATATTCGATTTGAATTGGGGTGGGGAGCCTTTCTGCTCCCACACAACCAAAAAGGTTGTTCCTTCCCAGCCACAAGGTAGTTGCCTTGTTTGAGTTTTTTTTTTTTACAGTTCTCCACGAGGCAGTCAACCTCTATTCTCGTTTTCCCCCACTGCCTGCTCTCCAACAACCAAAAACGGGAACGAAAAAAAAACACTAAATCAGAAA